TATATATATATATACTGTATATAAAAATATGAAGAATGTCCTCGTGTACAGTGTATTTAGAAAGATGTATCCTGATACCGTGGTTGTCCTTTAAGCTCTGTAGTAATTCCCAGCGGTGACTTATTCTCGGGTGAAGCAATTAGCAGCTTCTGATTACACCAACACGCCGATTACCGCCAGAAAACAGGAAACCCGACAGCGTGTGATGACACGTCTACATACCAACGCCGACAACGCGGCTTCCCTCTGATAGTTGTGCATTTCCCAGGATATTTACTGACCCGCAATAAATTCCCATCTGGGGGAATTCCCATCACACCAACATGTGCTAGGGCCATTGATTTATACTGAGCAGGCTGCTAAACGTTTGATACTTAAGAATATCTGTCATCACGTACACTATATTGCCAGAAGTATCGGGGCGCCTTTACACGCACATGAACTTTAATGGCATCCCAGTCTTAGTCCGTAGGGTTCATTATTGGGTTGGCTCCGCCCTTTGCCGCTATAACAGCCCCGCCTCTTCTGGGAAGTCATCCACAAGGTTTAGGGGTGTGTCTATGGGAATGTTGGACCATTTGTGAGGTCAGGTACTGATGTTGGGGGAGGGGCTCGCAGTCTCCGCCTCTAATTCATCCCAAAGGTGTTCTATGGGGTTGAGGTCAGGACTCTGTGCGGCCAGTCACGTTCCTCTCCCCCATCCATGTCTTTATGGACCTTGCTTTGTGCACTGGTGCGCAGTCATGTTGGAACAGGAAGGGGCCGTCCCCAAACTCCTCCCACAAAGCATGAAATTGTCCAAAATGTCTTGGTGTGCTGATGCTTTAAGAGTTCCCTTCACTGGAACTAAGGGGCGGAGCAACGGAGCGGTCTCATGCACATGGTCTGACTGCTCTCCAGTCGCAGGGAAAGGAGATGAAATGTATTCGGCGTTGTCACCGGTGCGCCATTGTTAATGCACATTTTTTATTTGTCTCGTAGGAGGTTACAGCAAATTCCAGAGGGAATACCCCGATCATTGCGAAGCCGGCCTCGACAGCCCCTCCCCTACCGATCCCACTCCAGAATGCGTCCTCGGCCTGGGGGGCTTGAGGATCAATTCCGAAGGTTCGGACGGCGAGTCTGACCGGGAGCCAATCAGCGCGACCGAATCGGAAGGCAGCCCCGCCCTCAGCAACCAGTCGACATTCCCCGTGCAGATCCTGCCGTATTTGTACCTCGGCTGCGCGAAAGATTCCGCCAACTTGGATATACTGGCCAAATATAACATCAAGTACATCCTGAACGTCACCCCCAACCTGCCCAACACGTTCGAGCACAACGGAGAGTTCAAATACAAGCAGATCCCCATCTCGGACCACTGGAGCCAGAACCTCTCCCAGTTCTTCCCCGATGCCATCTCCTTCATCGGTGAGTCCATGGTCAGATCACCCCAATTCCTTCACCCCTCAGATCACCCCAATTCCTGCACCTCCACCCCTCAGATCACTCCAATTCCTGCACCTTCACCCCTCACATCACCCCAATTCCTGCACCTTCACCCCTCAGATCACCCCAATTCCAAAAAAAACCCCCAAATAGGTGTGTGCATTAATGGAAATTATTTATTTAGAAATGTGATGAGAGGGGGAGGAGCCAAGGCAGGTGAAATATAACCGGATTGGTGTTCAGCTTCTCTCCCTGCGCTGCGCAGTCGTTGTATGAGACGGCTGCGGTGCTGCAGATCTCTAGAAGCCTCTTTCACATGCCGGGGGTTTATTATGGGGCGTGCTGCACCTCCCAGCTCCAAAGTCCACCCGCTGGGGTGAAAGGTTGTACTGTGAATGATCCTCCCAACTTCGGAATCAGAAAACGAGATAATGGCGACCTTTGTTATAGAAACATCTGAACTCCTTATCAGCCGCAAACAGACGCTGTGACCTCCAGCACCCGGGGACTTGTAACAACGCTCCCCATACACATGAATGAGAGAAATCCCTCCGTCCTGGTGACACCCTCACAAGAAATGAGGAGAGCTGTTGTCAACATTATAGGAAACTTTCAGAAGGGTGGGGGAGGGGTTAGAACTTCTGACAATGTTGGGAGCCCCTCATAATGGGCACAGCGGGTGTACAGACCCGGGAACTCAGCACAGGGATGGTGGGAGCCCCTCATAATGGGCACAGCGGGGGGACTTCCCCGGAGGCTCAGCACAGGGATGGTGGGAGCCCCTAACGGGGATGGTTGGCGCCCCTCATAATGGGCACAGCGGGTGTACAGACCCAGGAACTCAGCACAGGGATGGTGGGAGCCCCTCATAATGGGCACAGCGGGTGTACAGACCCGGGAACTCAGCACAGGGATGGTGGGGGCCCCTCATAATGGGCACAGCGGGTGTACAGACCCGGGAACTCAGCACAGGGATGGTGGGGGCCCCTCATAAATTATGTCAATCATTGTCTTTTCTTCCCGCGTGTCGTTTTGCTCCTCGCTGATCTCTCTGTTCCCGCCTCCGTTCCCTCTCATTGCAGACGAAGCTCGGTCCAACAAATGCGGCATCTTGGTCCACTGCCTGGCCGGCATCAGCCGCTCGGTGACGGTCACCGTCGCTTACCTCATGCAGAAACTCAACCTGACCCTCAACGACGCCTACGACTTCGTGAAGAGGAAAAAGTCGAACATCTCCCCCAACTTCAACTTCATGGGGCAGCTGCTGGACTTCGAAAGGACACTGGGACTGAAAAGCCCTTGTGAGATCCACTCGCCCGCCAGCAACCAGCTCTACTTCACCACGCCCACCAACAACAACCTCTTCCAGCTCGACAGCCTGGAGATCACATGATCCAGCGTCTGTCCGAGGTCCTCCCTGTGAAAGTGTTGTGTGGATGAGCGGGCGGGCGCAGCATTAATGAGCATCAGGTCTGCATGGAGTCTGTATTTATATATATATATATATATATTGTAATAATGCAAACACCTTTTTTTTTTTTGTGATTGTAAGTACTTAACTTCTCTTATTTTGATACGAATTCGGATCTGAGACCCGTTCTCGATCTTGCACTTAAACGTCCAAATCAGCATTCCTTCTAAAAGAGCAATCATAGCCTGAGATAGCTGCAGGGTTCAACCTGTTTTATATGACTTTATATGTATCTGTCTTCTATAAGCCGACCGTACACTACGCACCTTGATTGCGCAATCTCGTCTAGGTCTGCCGGTGGTGTAAGGGCCGGCCCGGTTCGGTGAATCTGCAGACGGCGGCGCCGCGCCCGGGAAAGATCCTGACCATGTTTTCCGGAGTCACCCCCCACTGCGTGATTGACAGCTGGCTCTGCCTCTCTAGAGCCAGCTGGACCCGCCCCCCTCCCCACTATCCTTCCAATGAGCGCAATCCCTGCGGGGGAGTGGTGATTGACAGTCCCTGCAGGGAGAAGCCGTGAGCTGAGCGATTAGAGGTTTGTGATCGGTCAGCTCTCGATCTATAGACCTGCAGTGACCCCGCCGGCTCTAAGTATTAGGAAGAGTACCACCGATTGGGGATGCACCGATATTTCCGTATCGAGTACCGATATTATCTTTTCGGTACTCACTGGTACCGCCGCCGCCGTGTGTCCCAATTATCAGGAAGTCGGGCGGTGAATCATGACCTGGAGCCCGGCTTCCGGATTGCCTGTGAAGCCGGTGTTTTAGCAAAAGAACACCGGCTTCGCTTGGCGAGACTGCCTGGCTACCTGACCAATCAGGACGCGAGTCATGACATACGGCCTAGCAACAAGTGAAGCTGACTCTCCACCTGACTTCCTGATTAGCCGAGCAGCGCGTAATGACTCGCCACCCGGCTTCCCAATTAGCAGGGAAGCCATCCCCATGCCTCTTGTCACGAGAAAGCATGGAGCCGGCTTTCTGGCCTATCATGGCGCCCGGCTTCCTGATTGGCCAGCGAATCATTACACGCTGCCTGGCTTCCTGATTGGCACAAGTGACGAGAGAGCATGGAGCCGGCTTTCCGGCCAATCAGGAAGCCAGGCTGCGTGTAATGACTCGCTGCCCGGCTTCCTGATACCGGAAGTATCGGGCTAGGCATCGGAGCATTTGTACTCGAGTACTCGCCCAAATACTCGGCACCGATACCGATACTAGTATCGGTGCATCCCTACTACCAATACTTCTCCTCAACAACAATTGTTCAGAGATTCTCTCTCTCCCTCCTCTCTCTCCTCTCTCTCTCTCCCCCTCTCTCTCCCTCCTCTCTCTTGTCCTCTCTCTCTCCTCTCTCTCCCCCTCTCTCTCCCTCCTCTCTCTTCTCCTCTCTCTCCTCTCTCTCCTCTCTCCCCCTCTCTCTCTCCTCTCTCTCTCCTCTCTCTCTCCCTCCTCTCTCCCCCTCTCTCTCTCCCCCTCTCTCTCTCCTCTCTCCCTC